CACGAGCAAGTTGAAAAATATTTCCGAAATCGATTTTCGCTCTTGCAGTTGCAGTCACACCTTGCAACTTTTATTTCTGAAACTGGTTTCCGAAAAGTGACAGAAAGATCTTTCTGGCTGTTCACACATCGAAATAAAATTTCTCTTTCTCAATTTGACAGCGAATTGCGTGCGAAAGACGGAAAATTGCCACGTCTGACAGGCTCTTAAGCTTTTATTTACCTTTCAGCAAAAACTAGAGCAAATTTTTGTTATAACTTGTTAAAAAAAACCTAAGGTAAAGTCTCCCTTGTCTATGTGATTATCATGTGCTAATAAATAGTTCTTCACATTTTCTAAGAAACGTGTAATTTTGGGTTGTGCCAACACAGAACTTAGTCATTCCCTGCAAAAATCGAGACAACTTCATGCACATACATACGTAAAGGAACTCCCTAAGGGCCTAGGAGTAACCCAAAATTAACCGTAATGCATACAAAAATGTGGTTTAATTAACAGTTGCGATGCCGCACGAGTCAAATTAGTCAGAATTAAAGTATAAACAGAATGAAATCGCTAAGCGAACTTCCTCGGATGAGGCGATGCCGTCGGGTGATATTCGCCGCAACATTTCGCCTAGTAAAAAAGTACCGAAACGAATGACAAATAAAAAATATAAAAATACCAAAGTGGGAAATGAAACTGCAACTTTCCCATTCCGCCTATTCCTGATAATTATCTGCTAAAAAGGTAAAGAAATAAAGCTAAGGCGATAGCGGAAAAAATAAAAATAAATCTTTCTCGACGAATTTCGTTAGACGAATTTCGTTGCCGCTTTGGTTGTGAGCAATCTTATATACTGCAGTGTGTTTTTATTTTGGCAGCGAACTATCTTCCGACGAAGTTCGCTAAGCGATTTGATTATGTTTACACTTTTAGTAAGATTTTACTGCAATTTGATCCCGTACTCTTTCTCTTGGCAATTGAGAGACCAATTAAAATAGTACAAAATAAGCAAAATTTTACACTCACAATTTGGAGGGTACTTTTCAGTGTGACTCCCTCGCTCTGAGCGAATCTTTATTTTTTTGACAGGGATTGGACCTCACGTTTCGATTTCCTAGGGCATTAGCACAAAAAAACTCCAAGGGATTACTCCGTGGAGCATTTTGCTGTAATGCCGCATAAATTTTGTATAAAAACGTTCTGTAAGGGACTTTTTGGTATGAAGAATCCATTTCTGCACTTATCTTTTCCCTAAAACTTATATCAGAGGCCGCAATGGTGTAATTTCTCACCTTTTCTTCGAAACCTATTTTCGCAATTCGGCAAACACCAAATTGATTTTAGACCCATAGTTTCTTCGGCAAATTGGCTTAGAATTATACGTACAATCTTCCTATGCTATACGCGCAAAGTAAAAAAGAAATTGACCCGCCCTAACCTACATACCTCTTGGCAACACAGCCCAATAAATATCGCGTGGTCTTTCATATGGCTCATGAATTTCATTAGCACTCAAAAGCAGGACCAGATTTCTCAAAAGTTAATCTTTGCATACATTTAGGCAAACAGTAACTTTTAAATTAAATAAAACACCGTTTTGTTTTTTGATTTGCTTCTTGATTTATAATAAATTGTCTTATTTGTTTTGATTTACTGACAGATTTTACAAGGCGAAATTACTTAATTTCAGCGTAATTTACTGCAAAATGAGGAGCTAGTCCTAAATTAAGATCTAAACCAAAATCAAATACTTAATCATAGAAAGCATTTTAAGACCAAAGGAGCAGAACTATTTTTTTATTGGAATATCTCTTAATAAAAATACTAAAAATATACGATAAATTACACTGGATCACAAGTTTGTGTTTGGGTTTTGCTCCACGGATGACCCTATCCGTTTTCCATCTAGAATTGACCGCTGATTCCAAGAATCGAGTTAATTTTTTATTCTATGGATACGTTTTCTAGATATTTTCAATTTGCCGTTATTCGGCTTAAAACAAAAGGTATTTCCACTTAGTCACGTATATCTCACGAACCAATTTAACAATTCGAAAATTAAATACGACAAATGAAAGCTAACAAAATATACATCACATTCCGATAGGTTTCCGATATTTTATGCTCATTACTTCTTTATTTATCCATCGATTTTCTTCATTAGTAACTTGTTTTTTTTTTTTGTAACAGAACAGGCTTTATAGCACAAATGCAAAAATTTTTCACAGAACCTGTTATTTTTTTTAATTTTTCTTCAGTTAAAGTTTGATTGTTTTCATATGTTCATCAAAAAAACCAAAAATCTGGAATGATTAATTTATTTGTTAGAAACTATCAGACCTATTTGAATTTGATGTATATATGGTCTATGTAGAATTTCGTTAGCTTTCATTTACTGTATTTCATATTAATATTATTAAATTGGTTCGTAAGATATACGTGATTAAGTGGAACCCCTTTTTGTTTTAAGCTGGATAACGGTAAATTGAAAATATCTTGAAACTTATCCATAGAATAAAAAATTAAGTCGATTTTCGGAATCAGCTAGCAATTCTATATAGAAATTGGATAGTGACATAAATTGAACATTTTTGCTGTAAACCAGTGTAATTAGTTTCGAAAGACTACACCGTATTGATAAGGTGCCATTTTTTGTATGCATAAACACATACATAACTCTGTTAATTTTACAAGCGAAGTAAGTCTCACCCATCCCAGTGTTGCCAGAGATATATATTTATCTACAAAATGAAGACTTATTTCAAACAAATTACGTCAGAGATTTAAACTGAAGATATTAAAATGAAAACGAAATTCCATTAAAAAAAAAATCTTTATTATGAAACCTTCTAGAGCACTTGAAAATTTTCTATGTAGTTCCAACAGCAGATGTAAAATAAGTTTTTTCCAGATTAATTTAAATAAAATAAAAATTGACAAGAAGATGGAAACTACCAATTCAAGAGGTATTCTTCACATATATAATTTATATACTTTAAAAATTAAACACTTTTTAATTGAGCTTGAGGCCGTTTGATGGAAAAATTATTGTGAAAAAAACCACAATAGTTTACGAATGGTTATATCTGCTATTTCGGAGATCATCGCATCTCCTTATCAGAGTTCAAGGGTATTCATTTTGCATCTAGTCGAAAATTGATAAGTGAACTTTTTTCAAAACTTTGTACAGAATAAAGGAATTGCTTAATATGATTTATTAGGACAAAAAAAATAACAAGAAAACCAAATAATCTACAAATCTCAAATCATAAAGATATAAATGGGGCATGTAGACAAAAAGTGATAAGTAAACTTTATACAGAGTATGTTGGGATTTTTTTGTTTTCGCGTTTTCGAACTTCTCGCGCTCCGCAAAACAATGTACGTACGGAAGAGTAAGTATTGAAAATATCCTTTTAAAACTGTATCCTTAAATATCCTTGAAATTTTGTAATACTTATTTTTGAAAACTTTATATGTTAGAACTACACTAACTCGACCAAATTCTCGAATTTCGAACTTCTTACTTTATAAGCTTATAGAAAATTAAATTAATTAAAAGGCCATTCAAACCTTTTTCGTCCTGTGAACTAAACTTTTTTTTTTAATTCTGCGGAATGTTCTCTTTCATTTGGTATCTGAATATTTTAAATAACTTTTGTAATTAATGATATCTTTGAAACTATAAAGTTCTTTAAAAAAATTCCTGAGGCTAGTTAGAAAAACTAAAAACGCCGTTTTACTATATTTGGCCCGTAGTTTCATGAGTATATTGATTGCTTCGTGTGTTTCGAAATTGTTTTCTAAAATCTTCAAAAAATATATTTCTTCCAAAAAAAATTTTTCAATCCTTTTTGTAATTTTTTCCGAGTTTCGAGCATTTAATCTTCGCTTGAAAGATTTTTTAAGAAAAATTTCTGGCATCACTGTTCCATACTACTACAATAAGAAACGGGATTTCCGAATGGCAGCTGTTTCAAATATCTGCAAAGCTTCAATACTTACATTATACCCTTTTCACTAAAATGTTAAATATAAGTAATAATAAATTTTTTTTTTCAAAAAACATATTTTTTTCAAAAAAGACTTTTTCAATCCTCTTTGTAAATTTTTTTTTTAGTTTCGAAGATTTATTCTTCACTTGACAGATTTTTCAAGAAAAATTTCTGGCAACACTGTCCCATACTACTACAATAAGAAACGGGATTTCCGAATTGTAACTATGTATTGCTTGCTATGTATTATTGCTAGGTATACTTACGTTATACCCTTTACACTAAAACGTTAAATATAAGTAATAAATAAATTTTTTTTTTATGTGACAACAATTCCTCAACTTAAACCAATTTAACTAGTATTGTACGACATAACTTACTATTACTTCGTTGTACGAAAGTGCTTAAAAGCATTATGCGTATACATATATATTAGAGTGACTGAAAATTGACAATTATCTTTTAATTAAATTCTTCAAAAAACGTCTAGTATTTAATTGAGCACTCAGTGTGAAGCAGTATTAATTATATTTTGATCCCTAGGACGCTAACAAATCTAAATACTAAGCTTTCACTGAAACCGAGATGTGTTGTCCCATAAAATCTCTTATAATATTTTCACTTACATTAAGTGCTTTTAACCGGCACTAGGCATTCCAAAAATGTACTGCATATTTCACTGTTAGTGATTAGTAAAAACAAATCTACCTAAAGTTAATAATAGGTAGCTACTGCTACATGCAATATTGTGGTATGTAGCATACCTTGAGGCTGAACTTTGTACGGTTAATACAATATTTTTTTTTGTGTTTTGTAAATTCCATAGCATTTAAAATTATGTTAGTCCCATATTAATTTTTAATCCAATTTGTTTGAATTTCGTCCATTTTTGTTATTACTCAAACGTTTAGTAAGTAATGAATCGGTTAAATGTGTAGATGTGTTAGAGTTGGTCACCGCAGGTGAATCCTTTGGCGAGGTATTTGTGAGTTTTTGTGCCATATAAGCAGTTTCTCTTACTTTAAAGCAACGAATATTGAAGTGATCGCACATTTCGCAAACCTGTAAAGGCAGAGGAAGCAAAACATAGACGAGAGTGTTATAAAAAGATAAAGGTTTTAGGATTCAATTGTAATTTTTCTACGTGGGATGTATGTATGTATAATGACTCCGATGATTTTAAAGCAGTAACACTAATGATACATTTTAAATATAAACTTTCAGCTAAAATAGTAAACTCCTTAAAATATGCAGCATTTGTTTTGATAGCGCAACTTTTTTTCGCTACACAGTTTTCTGTACCAAAACTCAACTATTTAATACATATACATTTCTTACTTACCACTCCTTGTGCGTAATGCAGATGCGCTATGGTCACGAATATCGTTAACGCCTGCACAATCCAACATTCCATTTCAGCGCTAATATCGCTGCCCCACAATTGTTCGTACCGCGGAAAGCAGCATACAGCCACAGTAGCCAATAGTGGCCACATGAGTAGATTGAAACCATCACAGCGAGTGTCGGACATTTGCGCCACTATCAAGCGACACTGTATCGCGGAAGCAGAGAAATAATGAAAAAAATAAATAAATATTAGCTATTTAACGGAGAGCAAAATGTTATAGATAACAATAAACGAGCACATAACATTTAAAAGCTAGACAACAGTAAGTATTACCAAATAACTAATAAGTATTCCACATTTGAAAACGAGTACCCATAAGAGGATGTGACACGCATCAACTCGCTCATCAGCATGGATAGCAACGATGTTATTAAGAGCAAAAGTGGTACTTGAATAGGTGACGCGAAAACATCATTGTCTGCTCAAAAATGTGTGCAACGTTGTTTTCGTTTTACGAATTGTCCAGTGATACATTAAAAAATATACAGTGATGGGAAAAATTTATCGAATGCAACCTACTCTACTGGAGTGGAAACCAGAAACAGAAGATATTTGATATAGGTTGCCTACATACTATTTGATCCTTAAAATGTTATTCTATCCTCTACACATTTTGGTGCAATAAGGAAAGGTGATATACGTTCGCGTTCGTCTCGCTCTAATCGCGATCTTAAGCTCCCTTAGAAAAATTCAGTGTGCCTATTTGTCAAACTACATTTTTATATTAGAACGATTTTTATGAAAAAGTATACATATTTTCTAGTATATTTATGTTATAATCCCATATAGCGAAATTTACAACAATAAAATGCACTACAGAATAATAATTTTTAAGCAAATAACCCAAAGTGGTCATCCCGATAGCAAGCCTAAGATTGGGAAAAGGGCAAGAAAGGCGCGTCGGTTGCGTAGTACTGCTGCAGGGGAGCTCTTGGTAAGAGCATGGGGTCTCCCGCCCAAAGTAATTCATTGGCCAATGGACCCATGGGTCTATGTAGCTTATCTTGTTTTACGGAGCGCTTGTCTGGTGGAAATCACTAGAGAAGGCTACTCTTCTTAAGCAGCTGCCTAATCGGCATTAAACGGGCGTTAAGCACCGCACCTGCACACATTACTGCTGTTATTTTTATTATGTCTATCGATTTCTATAGCATTTTTGTATTTTCACTGTTATGGTCATCCTTATGATTATATCATATCTAGTTATTAATAAAAATTCAAAATTTTATTTTAATGAAATATACACCTTTAGTACTTCTTAGCTATAGTTAATGATTTCGATATTGTTATCTTTAAAACTAAAATTTTCATTGCTTCATTTCATGTTTTTATCGTAAGCGAAAAAATTTCGATTTTATTTTATGTTGCATTTGAGTATTTTCATTGCTAAATATGATGATCCTTATCGATATGTAGTCGTCATTAATATTCGTGACTAGTATTTTTATTTTTTTTTTCGGAAAATTGTGGGAGTTGTAATTCGCTGAAGTTATATAAATCAAAAAGTGAATTTTGAATCTATTAGTTATGACTTTTTGCATTTCAGCGATGATGTTTGTTACGTCTTTTTGAGTTTCAGGTGACGATATGTATGTATGTAGATTTGGAATTTGTTTCCGAAATATACACCTTTAGCACTACTTAGCTATAGTTATCGATTTCGTTATTGTTAACTTTAAATCTAAAACTTTCATCGTTACCGGTACCAAATATTAATTCCCATTTTTACTGATGATTTTATATCGTTATTGGCATCGTTATTATCATTGCATGTACAAGTATTTTTATCGAAACCGGCATCACTTCGTTATTGGTTTTTAATTGAATACCATTGCTGTATACATTATTGTCGTTGTCCAAATTTTCAAACTTGTTTCGTTATCGATTTCATCATATTGATTTGTTATTGCTGTTCTTAAAGAGGTTCTTAAGGTATTGGCCCAATGCAGGCTTGCTTTGCTTGCCTCGCATTGAGAACTGTCAAAAGTTATTTCGAATATACTAAAACGTATGAAGGCTGGCCAAATGGCAGCTTTGCTTCATTTGCTTTAAGCGCCTCAAAGTTTCAAATAGGCAAATGTTTTATTTGAAAGCGCTTTGTAGGCTTTTGACAAAAAGGTATGTTCCCGTTCTAAATGAATTCAAACTGCTGCGCCCTTTTATGAACAAAAATTTGCTTACGTAATTAAAAAATATATATATAATATGAGTAATTGAAAGTTTAATAAAAATGATTATATGTTTCCATATTTATATTTAACATATCGCTGGCTGAAAAGCTGCTGAGTCCATTTTTACAAATTTTACAGGAACTTTGAATACAACATTTTGCGTGTTTAAAGCAAAGCAAAACTTCATACGAATCAAAAGGATTCGATCTTTATTAAAATATTTCGTATTATTTTGGCCTTATCGGATTTTCGGGGCCTCTTCTGGACTTAGAAAATTTGCCTTCCATTGAATATAAATGAGAAAAAATGAAACAAGTACCTTAATCCTTAATTTCTCTTGCTTCCTATATTATGAGGTTTCACAAATTGTGGACTTAGCAACTTTTCACACAAAGCTAGCGATATTTATGATGTCAAACTACTGGTCAATCGTCTCTTGAAAAATTGGATTTTTTGTTTTTAATAAATGTATAGCTATATATGTATAATTATTATCATTCCTTTGAAATGCAAAAATTAATTCGCATCAATTTAAAAATAAATCTGAAAAGATTGCTTGTATTTTTTTTTTAGTTTTCTGGAATTTTGTGGGAAAATTATTCTTAGTGTAAGGGAACAGACCTTAATTTTTTAACTACACAGCTGGTAGCTTTGACAGCGTTCCAAGCCGCATTTGGCCAGACGAGTTTTTGCAGTAAATCAAAGCAAATTAAAGTAAGTAAGGCGTGCAAAGCAAGCCTGCATTGGGCCAGCGCCTTTATTGTTACTTTCATTTTTACAGTTATCGATATTTTTATGAACAGCTATATTATAGCTGTATCATTGTTATTATCAGTTTTTATGATTACGTATGTAAATATATTGTTAACGTTATCCAAAATTTCATTTGAGTACTTTCATACTTTTTTATTGTTCAGTATCGATGTCGTCATCGTTATCAATATTTTTGTGATTATCTTTTACCTGGAAAAAGTTTCCCTGAAAAGCGTTAAGGTAATTGGCTGAGCCCTCCCTTCCATAGGACAACCAAAGTCAAAGTATATTTTTTATGTGACTATCCAAAATCCTCTTATATCTATACAGAAAAAAACTTACTTTTTTGATTACTTTTCGCAACGAGCTCCATTTTTTTGCAGATATATAATTCTTGTCCGTAGAAGTAACTTTATTTTGTCACATGCATGCACTTAGATTTAACAAACATACATACATATATGCGTCATAGAAATGTTTGTACGAATTAGGGATGTTAATTTTTTCACTTTTTACGATCCCGAGATTTTCGAGATGTTAACACAATCCCGGGACCCCGGGACCTGTCCTGGGATTTAGATATTCATTACTTTTCAGCAGCTTAAATCGAAAAAAATGTTTCTATATTGTTTGGGAAGCTCTCCTACCATAAAATAAGTAATAAATAAATGGGTTTGAAACCTAATTTTTTATTTAAAGTAACGACTTTATTTCTCTCTCTGACGTCAGCATTTATTTTAAAGGACTTTGTAATTTCAAAGATATGATTGATTCCAAAAAAATGCAATGCAATGTAGAATAAAAATATGGGTACCAAATGAAAGAGGGCATTTCTTTAGAATTACAAAAAAAAATAATAATTTGTTTGGATTCATAAGGACGAACAGGTAATTTTTTAAGCTGATAAAGTTAGAAGCACGAAATTCGAGGATGTTATCGAACTTTTACAAGTCCTTAACATACAACTTTCAAAAAAATAAATATTGCAAAATTTATAGGACAAAATTTTAAAAGGACATTTTCAATACTTACCAGTCTTTCTGCACCAAAAAATTTAATCTGTTTAAATTCTACAGGATTTTCTTATTTTCTTTTCAATTTGGTACCTATACTTTTTCTCTAAGCACATTTCACCGAATTTTTTAAATCATTTTTGCCTTACTGACGTCAGAATGAAAAACCAAAAACGCAATTTTACTATATTTGGATCCCGGGATTAACATTCCTAGTATGAATGTATGCACCCACAAAGCTTAAGCCGCAATCAAATGTAGGGTACGCTCCCTGGATATCAAAGTGTGCATTCATGCATCCATTTTTACACACATACCTACATGCATATATCCATATCTAAGTGGATATGCACTTACCGCAATATTGGAAAATAACGTTCCGAAGAGCACGAATAGTATGCGCGGCGACAGATCAATGATGCCATTACGCGAGTAAAAGCACCAAAATGTGCCGATTGCGAAAAGCCAAAGGAAGGGGAAGAGTGGTCGCGCCGCCTCCATGAATGGAAGCATTTTACCGGTTTTATTTTTGTATGATCTGCAAAATAAAATGAGCATGAATGAATATTTGCACTCACATTAATACATACATACATATGTATGCATTTATGACGTTTTTGTTGTTGTCCGAGAGAATGCAATCACTTTTATATGTAAAGAATAGTCATTAAAACATAGCATACATACATGTATGTATAAATATTTATATAGTAGATATACTTAAATTTTCAGTGTAATTGCATTTTTTATTAGAAATTCTGCAAATTTTTAAAATACTTACAAATATATATTTTTTATGATAATTGGATGACTGCTTATCATGCTCGAAGTCAGTAGCACAAACTCAAATATATTTGCCATACTGACATTCAAAAATGGGTGTGCATGCCAAATATTCGGACCGACCAGTGTGGTGAAGAATAACATTAAGCTGACGCCCTGTAGGAAGAGAAAAATGTAATGGTTAGAAAATGAATATGGAGGTACTAATCTAATTAGAAAAAGCGCTGCGTGAAATTTTGCAGGCAAAATAACCTTCAACGCTTTTTAGAAAGTACGAGTCGACATGTTTAGACCTAAGCTTTGCAAATGGTGGAGAGCTTTGTAGATGTGGATCAGATGTGGTCCCCTGATTATCTCTGACCACGCTGTTAGCAATAACTGTAGACGCGCTTCCAACTAACAATCGATATATTAAGCGAACTAAGAAATATTCTGACGCAACCGAAGGAGATGTGATGCTTTGCCCGGCTACCAATGGCTATCATAGTAGACGTTTGGCTTCCCTATACACCCACATGCCAATTCTGGCAACTGTCTTTCACCTCACCACAGTCTTTCGAAAGACAAAAGTTTTCGTAAGTCAACTCTGGCAACTATCTTGAAAGCTCTTTACTGTCGTCCAAAAGACTAATTGAAAGATCTGCTAACGAGGAGCTCATAGGAGCTGTTCTCCTTTAAGCAATAAGTTTTTTTTTTACTAAATTAAATTTAAGAGATATATATATTTTTTCTTTTTAAAACCATACAAGTAATAAATAAATTAAAATAATATTAAAAAAGAAAAATAAAATTAAAATTAAAAGAAAAAGAAAAAACGAAAATAATAAAACATAATTTTAAAAATTAACTGAAACTAAATTAGCTAAAGAAAAAAAATTTATCAAAAAGAAGGAAATCTTACTTAAAAATTACATATAATTAAAAAAATATATTTTTATTATAAAAGCGACATCTGAAACTTAAAAGAAAATTAAATTAAAAAAGGAGTAAAGTAAAGTAATATCTTAAAAATTAAATAAAATAAAAATATATATTTTTCTTTTTTAAAACAATAAAATATAAAAATTATAAGTAAATTAAATTAACAAAAGGAAAAACGACTTAACTTCAAAAAAGAAAAAATTAATAAATTTTTCTAAGAATTAAATGAAATTAAAAAATATAGTTTTATTCTTTAAACAATAAAAAAATATAATAATTAAAAAAAATGCTAAAATTTTATGAAATCAATAAAAAAAAAATTTTCTTTTGAAACCAAAAGAATCTAAACATTAAAAGAAAATTAAATTAAGAGGTAATAAATAGATAAATTAAAAAAGGAAAAATACCTACAATAAGTTTCTAAAAATTAAATGGATTACAAAATATATATATTTTTCTATTATAATAATAAAATCGTAGAATTAAAAGAGAATGTAAACTAAAAAATAAATTCGCTGTCCGGGGACTCACTCACTCGGTCGTTGCAAAATAGCTTTTCACTGCAAACGGTGAAGGAGAGAGCTTTTTCCTAAGACTTTTATGCTAGAATAACAAAAGTCTTTCGAACTATCTTGCCTTTTTACTTTCTGAGCCAGAATTGCCCTGTTAAATACAATCGCCATTTCATAGAATATCTATTAGGATTTTCTGAAACATACAATTGTGATCTGGAAGCCAAAATCTGAGATTTAAGGAGATTTTCGTTCCTCTCTCAACCCTTTCGTCAAGCATTGGCCCTATGCCAGAAGAATCTAGCTATGGCAAGTATGTGAAGATTTTTTTAAACTTATAGTAAGTAACGTAAGCATTCTCTTCACGTTCCTTAATCTATATAAGGTCCAATAATTCTGTTTCCGAAAATCAATATAAAATTCAATCGATTTCAGATTAATTGGTACGTCTGCTTTAAGCCAGACTGAAAAGTTGTCTGATTGTTAATAGTTTATACTTTTATTTTGTTTCAAAGAAGATTATTGGAAGAGCATAGCTTGAGTACATACGTTTATTGTACAACAAAAATTTTATGTTGTAAGAAAAGTTTGTTAAAAGGCATTCGGGAATTTAACTTTAACTTTAAGCATACCGAAAATTAATTTTTTCTGAGCACCTATCAGTTTTTAAATATTAATACAAACCATTTTCAAAAGATTTATCATTTCCCTTGCTTTTACGATTGCTTCTCGCTCCAGTGCAATTACCAAATCCATATCATTTCAACATTAAAACAAATCCCCTCTTTCATTTCCATCGCCTTTGCAATGCAACTGCCCGCAATTACATCTGGCCGGGTGCACCAACTCATGCAGAATTTTGTTGTTTTTTTTTTCGTGATACTCGTAACTTACCCACATCGTGCAATCGTATCCCCACGGCAAGAACATAACTCCGGTGTTATACTTTTCGACATGTGTCAAATAAAAATTAAGAAAAACATTCCAAATAACCCTAAACATATGAATCGGCGGCAAGTCATTTGTGCCAAATAGTGAAAACATATAAATGGGTATGAGCGCAGCGGAGTAAGAGTCCAGACCGTGGTCAAATAGTTCACCCAGCGGACTGCTGGTGCCAGTGCGACGTGCCTGCTTGCCATCCATGCCATCTGCGTGGAGAAGGAAAACGGTTGTGTTGAAAATGGGAAGCGGGAAGGAATGATTAATAAAACTGCACATATGTAGGTACATACATGTTTATGTATGCAAATGTCAGGTAAAAGTAAGCAATACAAATTTCTGACTACGTGTGTCTATAAACAAGTGGACTAAATTTGAAACTTCTCATCATTGCCAAATTACCGGGCATATTTAAACGAGTTACCTTTACGAATGCATATGCATGTATGTACTTACATATGAGTATAGAGGTGCAATGCAAATATGAATACTTTTAATGTTGTTCGTTGAAATTTTTGCTATTAACTTATTCAGTACATAAAAGTATATTATAATGTACTTGGCTTGAAACAGAACAGAGTTTAAAGTAATCAAATATGTGTATAAAGGTTTAGACATTTATCCTTATCTTCTTCCTTTACCTTATCCTTATACTGATTCTTCTCTTTAATCTTTTTCTTATCCGTATCCTTATCCTTATCCGTCTTATTATTATTTTACGTACTACTAATTTGTATATTTATCGTTATTATTAACCTTTTTTTGGTCTTTATTCTTACTCTTTATTCTTAAACCTATGTACCTCTAAGCCTATCCTTAAATTATCCATCTTTTTCATCCATTTCTTTCTGGTCCTTGCACTTGTCCTTATCTTTATCATTATCTGTATCATTATACTTATCCTTATCCTTATCCTTATCCTTATCCTTATCCTTATCCTTAT